AACATGTACTCACAGTAGTAGCACTGGTACCGTGCTATCACTCAACGTGTACTCACAGTAGTAGCACTGGTACCGTTTTATCACTCCGCATGTACATGTGCTGAATATGCCATTATATGTAATTGTGATAATGTATAATTCTATAGTTTGCCAGGTGTCCCTTAATGTTACCGCAAAGGGGTACTTGTTAAAATCGTATGGGTAGGGTGCAAGTTAGACAAGAACTGATGATCATTAGTATTCTGTATTTTACAAAAGCTAGACGTGATGCTTTTTTAGACAATCAGGTCTGAATTAGTTCCGTGAAATTTAGTTTGCAGAAATTTTAGTGAGAAAATTTATAAAAGAAACGTCATCTGAAGATTGAGAGGCAGCAGCACTGTGTGATTGTTATTATGGTGACTTCACAGCACCGTGACACTTAGTGAGATATCTACACCTGTAGTCAATTTTGGACGGGATGCTTTGGTATTAACCAGAAGAGTTAGTTACGCTAACTGTGCTGATATATATCGCTTACATGTCTTGCTAAAGAGTGGCAACCGTTATACTACGAATGTCATGACAGTGAGTTTGAAAATTAACTTCTCATATTGTTACTTGGTACCTGGCTGAGGAGGTAAGTGAGCGTTCTTCCTGCACTGGAGATAACTAAGGTGGACGGGCTCCTTGAAGTAATGACTACTGATAACTGGAGTGTTTTCCTTACTTAATGAAGGAAAGTGAGCAAGCTCTTCCTTCCTAAATTCGATGATAGCAGTGGTTGAGCATTCTCCAGACACTGCTGCTTCCACGTGTCAAGGATGTGATTACTGTGGTTCATGCGGAGACACTGGAAACTGCTGAATTTGCTGTGTGTGCATCATTAATTAAACAAGAGGTAGCGGAGACTCGATCCCCCGCAAGCTGATAATAAAATAATCAACCAGTGACTTTTGATACACCCGTGACAGATGTCGAGGGCTTTCCTACCCTACTAGGCCTCTCTTGTAGAGGCCCTGTCGAGGCCCCTGAAGGGAGGTTCCTTGGCACTGTTGAGGGGTTGTTGATCCAAGGAATTGGACCTGACCCCGCGTCATTGGATCGAAAACGAATGCTTCCCTTTCCTCAAGTGCTGTATGACTTACGGGTTTAGAGCTCTCACATGAAAGTAGTAATTCGTTGATGAGCGCATGTTTAATCACGGTGTTGCTGGTATCGGCCATCTTGCCCCCACAGTCGTCATAGCGTGGTTGATCTGACACTTTGCAAGTGTAGTGATCCAATTTTATCTTTAACTCAACGTTTGTTACGGTTGAATAGGCCGCAGATGTTGGCAGTGGCTATGGCGTCTCCTTGCATTTAACAATTTATATTACATTTCCTCCCAAATCTCTCACCCGCACGTATAACAGCATCCACATGGAAGGAAACTTGTGATGCCAGTCTTAAGAGGCTAAGACTCTGGGGCAAATAAGAGTGCATGCACTCACGCACGCGCTTACACGGGTGTATCAGGTGAAGAGAAGCATTACTCATCCCAGTGGAAAAGAGAATAAAAAAAAAAGTGTGAAGATTGGCAAAGTCAGTAAAGCGAAAGTGTCAGGGGTGATAAAGAGGTTGATTGGTCCAGGCAGCAGAGGCTAGTTTTTACGACGAGCATTAGTACCGAGCTTTAAAGGTGCAAGGCATCTACCTCTGGGTCAGTTTGGTTGAGAAAAACCTAAAACAAAAATATTTCTTTATATTTTCTGATAAACTTCTACAAACAACTCACACTTGTATATTCTTTTATTGTTCTACATTTTTAATCATGTTATCGGTAATTTAAGTGATGACTTCTTACGTATTCACCTGAGTGTATGGGGAAATGTGGGCAATAATAGGATCCTGCTAGAAAGAAATACTCGAGGGAGAAAGACAAATGTATAAAATTTATCCTTCAGTGATTACGTTTCGCCCATGCAATGGACTTTGTCACAAACAGATGAACTTGGATGAACATACATATATTGCAGTCTAATACTGTTTCTTTTATTGCACATTTTTATTTTATTTTTGTCTTTACCCTTTTCTGTTTCCATATTCTTCTTTTAATGTATTTTATATCATATCCGTAAATTCAACTAGCCTTCCTACTATCATGCAAACGCAATTACATTTTTTGCAACACAGTTTTCCATATTAGTCTAAACATGTTGCAGTATAAAAAATCAAAACCTTTTTTTCGTTGTTCATGAAACTTGTAGCCAGGGTATATACTCCAGGTACCATACTAGTATCAGTCCTCGTATTCAGTAAACATTTTACAAGTTGAATCAGTTATTAATAAAGTTAATGTTAGCGGGTCCTTCGTACCCTTAAGGAAAGAACAAGTATTCCTAGCTGGGTTGAGACCTGGATACAAATACATGCGGGCGGGAACACAATGGCAACAACGACCCTACTCGTACACAATGTGTACTGTGTGTGTGTGCAATCTTATTTATATGTACTACCTCACTGTATATTAAAATGTGACGCAACTTCTACTTACAGACCTCTAACTGTAAAGAAACACCTTCCTAACAAAGTTCTCATTTCTCAAGTTAAATATTTGAAGTGAATCCAACTTCGTTTGAAATACGCATTGTAATTGATAGCCATTTGATTGTACTTCACAATATTATTGAAATTACTTTTGCAATGTTGACAGTTTTCACTTCACAGCTGCAAATCCCTTTAGATATTATCCCCAATTATAAATTTTACATTAAATTCGTACTAATTGCCTTGTCGATAACGTCGCCTATATGGTATAGGTAAACTGTTATGAATGTGTGAATTTAACACCACGGGCTTTTCTCTTCCTGTTTGGGCGCTGTTTATTACACGTACCATTAATGGCTCATAAATCTCCAAAAAATAAAAAAAATGAGGTACTGTATAAACTATAAGAATCTAGTTATTTTAAATAATAATCACAGACTAATGTATGGAAATATTTTAATATATAACGGTGTGACTTTGTAAATGGTCAAAGTCGGACCGAAACGTCGTCGTAAGCTTCTCTCTTTTATGTGCGGGTTATTTGTGTATTGTGTATTTTAATATACTACTGCAGCTTCTGCTGCAACAATATATATGGTTCTATGGCGTTCAGTGTCTTAGAAATTACAGTGTTAGTAGAAATAATAGTGAATCAGTACGTATTTTTTAAATTAAAATGCATTGTGGACCTCATAAACTCAAAAATTAGAGAATGTGTGTCCGACAAAAATAACATGAATGACATTAAAGGATAGTAAATATCACACATTCATGTAAGGTAACTAGTCATGGTTAAACTTGAGAGGATCGGGTCGGTGTAGCTTTCTTTAATCCTCCAGCTTAATGTTAGCGGCCTCAGGGTGGGACACACATTGGCGAGCCTGGCATGGGACGTGTCATAGTGTGCTGTGGTAAGGTCATGCTGGACACGTGGTACATGAGAAGGAACAAATATCTCTAATCAGTTCAAAGTCAATATATAAGTCGCAGAATTATTGATTCTTATTTATTACTGATTATACACTCAGTTTGATTTTTATATTGTTAAAGGCTTAGGAATATGATAATGTTCATAATAGTACACAACAAGAGATATTGCATGGGAGAGGCTGGGTGGAGGGGGGGGGGTGTTTTTGTGTTGGTGGGGAGGGAGGGGAGGAATGCGGCGAGTTACCAATTCTCTTAATATTAAAACTATTAGTAGTTATTCATTCATTAATTTAACATAGCAAAATTCACGAACACATTGTACGTGTACTTATGCGAAAAACAGTGTTGTATATGTAGAGATCAAAACATTGTATTTAGGTTTCTCATCCTTTGTTTCACAGGATGAAAGATCAACACTAATCCCGTTAGATATAATCTCGGCTGCCCGTAAGACGCTCTTGGAGAGTACAGAGAATTGCAGTTTTCTCTCAGAGATGGTTTACTCAACCGAAATATTTGTTTGTTAGTGTTAAGCTGGTAAATAGGCTTACCGACCCCCTACTGTGGTAGCCTTGCTCTAAGCCATTCCCTAGTTGTTGTTTGGCCATAAGATCGAGGGCAAGAATGGGGAGGGGAAGGATTGGGATAGGATAGACCAGTGAAGGAAGATTGTGAGTACACAGGAAGAGAGGGGTAAGAAAGGTTAAGTGGCCTGACCACTTTGGGTGAGTTTTTTAAGGGTGGTTTTTGCCACATAGTGACGACTTTTATCTTGTTCTTTAGTATGTTGCTTTGAGATACTGGAATTGCTCTCGTGCTAAGAAACACAAATGGACAATTTGAGGCACGCCTATGTTTATCTTATCTTTGGTAAAGATAATTCAGACATTCACTTTTTTTTTTTTTTTGCTGCTGAAAATTTAAATAATGTTATCTACCATCTACTTCGATATTTTGATATGAGTATATAATTTTAATTCGACACTCTGGTATCTGTATATAATTAGAATTCGATACTTTGGTATCAGTCCCTAAAATAAATGACGGGCTTAAGATAAATAAGATCAGTGTTTTTAATGCTTGGAGTGGTGGTGGTGTTGCATCACGAGTGTCAGCAAGAGCATGAAAGCAGTCAGTATAGGAGGAACTCCTACAAACAACACCGAGGAATTGAGGTGCATCTCTCTCTCTCTCTCTCTCTCTCTCTCTCTCTCTCTCTCTCTCTCTCTCTCTCTCTCTCCTCTCTCTCTCTCTCTCTCTCTCTCCTCTCTCTCTCATCTCTCTCCTCTCTCTCTCTCCTCTCTCTCTCCTCTCTCTCTCTCTCCCCCCCCCTCCCTCCCTCCCTCCAATATCAGCTAGGAAATTTTGTAATTAGTGTACAGTAATTTCACTATTACTGCCAAGCACAGAGATATAGGGTTCTAGTTTAATAAAACTAGTGTTCTATAAATTTATCGTTGTCATTTAAAGAAGTTACAAGTGACAGGTTTACTTGTTTATTGGAAATTAATTTATTGATGTCGACTTGGGCATCATGTCGGCCCCTGGATACGGTAGCTTCTAAGATTAATATTAAATTTGTATAATGTTTTGTGACCTTGGTGTAAAAGTATTCGTGCAGTGTTTATATTTCAATTACGGTACTCAAGTGTTGGGAGTAGAGAGGGCGGAGCTTGACAATAAGGATGAGTAGGGTGGGAGGGCAGTCGTTCCACAGCCGTGCTAGTGTGTGGATGTACGCGTAGCGGTCGCTCCTGCTGGGGCTCTTGTTGTGTTATGGTGCTTCGTAGTCCTGTTGGTTACACTTCTGGCGTTTCCTAGATCCCTTGGAATTTTTGGTCTCGAACAGAATGTGTGAACTATAAGATACCAGTGAAATTGTTTAGGTAAATTTTGTGGTACATGAGATGATTATCTCTGAAGAAAGTTAATATGTGTTGATTATGAATTTAAAGGGTTTTCTGTGATTATTCAGCACGATAGCTGACGAATTGTGCAAACAATCTTTATTAATATCAACAATGACGTTGAATATTTCTGATAATTGAAATTTTTTTTAACATGTAAATAAGTGGGGAGGAAAATCTTAAGTTATAGTATGGTGTACCTAAGCGAGAGTGGGCAGGGAGGGTGGGGCGAGGTAGTGCTTCCTTCTCCGAGTTCTGAACCCCCTCCCCCATACTCTCCCCCGCGGGTCTCTCACCACCATCACTTCTTCCCTCAGGGGTTTCCCCACCACCACATCTACCACGCTATCACCGAATATTATGATCTCACATCTTCACAGCCCAGTAGTCTCACTAGTCATGACACGGCGTCTATCAAGGACCCACCACCACCTTACCCGCCCACGACCACTCTTAAGACCGCTCACGCTGCCCTTAATCACGGACCTTCTAGTGCCTTCTCCCCACCCACTAAAACCATCAAGTATTCCTACCCTCCGCCCTACACGCCTGCGGACAGCAATAGCAGTGGGCGTGTGAAGATTCCTCAGCCTCAGGTGCAGCAACAGCAAGACCCCGTCGCCCCCGGCAATAGAGGTCTTGCCAGTGACCCTCGCCACAGGTCACGACGGCTACATCCCCCCAGACACCAGCAGAATATCTCATCTTTGGATGAACGATACCGCATCAACGAAGACGACAGTAGGTCGTCAGGTGGATCTAGAAGAGTTCCAGCAGCGACCACAGATCGTCATGGTGTGTATCCTGCATCCAGCAGGAGTGTCATGGGAAGTGGACATCCGCGGGGGCCGCTCCTTAGAACTGGGAAAAGCCTGGAACTACCCCATGAACGATTGACCCAGCACCATCCACCGCCTACCGCCCACACCCACCCTCGCCACCTCCACCATAGTCACCATCGCACCAAAGACACTAGTGGGCATCATCGCACCAAAGAGCCTTTTGGCACCAATACTCAATCTAAGTCAAACCAATTAGCTTATGTGGGCATCCTGCCCTGTAAACCGTCACGGGTGCGTGATAAAGTAGTACCTCCTGTAGACCTTAGGGGTAGCAATCGTTGCGAGGAGCAGTGGATGACACGGGCGTCACGTCTGGAAGCTGCTGCTGCCCGAACGATGATGGCTGCTCGTGCAGTGCCCGTCACCGCGGTCAATAACCATGCCCACTCCCTCGAGTATGAGAATAACATGATGCGTGGACGACTACGGTCGTGTCGCTCTCTGGATGAATTGTCTGATCTACTGGATGAGGAGGCCAGTATTCCTCGCCACCACCCAGTAGTCACTCGCAGCCTCGATGACCTCACCGAGCCCCTCTACGAAAACTTCGACATCATTAATGCCCACGCCCGGAGAACTCACGAGAGAACTAAACACAACACGAGTGTACCGGACTTGCTGGAGCCACCACCGCGACCCCCCCGTCAGCGTAACAGTTCCCTCTCGTCACTTCTTGAGGTGAGTAACAGCAGTGCCGCCTCGTTGTCCCGACGAGCCCTCAACACGAGCGTGCCCGACGTGTTGGAGGGCGGAGGACTCTCCTGGGGCTCACCCACCTCCACTCTGCGTTCCACTGCTTCCACTTCCGCCGCAACCTTTGATCGTGATGCTATGAGCGACATCAGTGTCCAGCTGCAGAAGATTCGGGAGGTAGCGAGGGTACTTGGGGTAAAGTATCGCAGGGGAGAACTTTCCTCGTCTTCCGCCAGTAGTAGTGGTGCTGGTTCCACCCACACCAGCCCTCGCATGCCCCCCCACGCCCTAACTCCTCCCCCTCACGTCCCAGGAGTGCCTGCACGTGCACCTGTCATCCATGACGTGCTGAAGGAGGGTAAAAAGCTGTCACCACCACAGCAAGTGCACCCGCGCACCACCACTCTTACACGCGACACTGATGCCACCAGCCAAGAAAGTGGTTATGGTTCTGTAGACTCGAGATCACACAGGCTGCAACAGTTTTACTTCCATCACCCTCAGTCCCACGTGGGAAAGCAGCAGCAGCATCTCAGGGAGCACCCACATTTAAGTAAAGCTCAACAACAGCTCTCTAACAGTTCCCAGCTAGCTTCAACTCAATATCAGTTAGAAAAAAATGAATCCTCTCCGGGCTCCTCTCAACTTCAAAGAAACTGCCCGAGACTCGCTCAAGTTACTAGCCAAAGTCAACGGCAACAGAGTTTTCAGTCCAGAGATTCCCTCCAGAATCCACAGCAAAGTAGCACTTTCCCTACCCAGTATAGTCAACACCAACTCGACAACCTCCAACAGCATGCTCAACACCACCAGCAGAAACTTCACCAGAAACATCAGCAACGCAATCATCACCTACAATGGCATCAGGCAGCGAAACAGAAGCAGCCTATTCAACAGTTGGAACTACATCAGGTAGGTGTGGGGTTGTGTACTCACTGATTTGTTGGGAGGAAGAAGGGTCGATGCTCAGCTCCTAGCTCCGCCTGTACTACTGTGATCGATTGTGTTTATGGGAGGTCAAGGTTCATCTCCTGGCCCTGCCTCTTGTAAACTGTGATCGATATCTCTAATTTCGGGCCTTATCATATCTGCTCTGTGCCATCAGCTTCCACCTGTGTCCCATTGATTTGGCACTCTTAATTAAAAGTTTTCTCCCGTCTGCCCTATCAGTTACTTAGGATTTTGTATGTAGTAATCATGAACACTCTTGTCTTACTCTGTCAAGGCGACCAGGTTTATTTCGGTCAACCTTTAAATATAGTGCATTACCTTCATTTCTGGAAGTAGTCTGGCTGCAGACATTTGAACCTTTTCCAGCTAGTGCAAGTACTTGAGCAGGCGTGGACTCCGTGTCAGGCCGCGTACTCAGTGATTGGCATAATGTGTCTTATGTATAAAGTTCTGAAAGATTCTTTGTTGAAGTTCCTGAATGCTGTTGAGAATTTTGCCAATCTTGCACATGTCGCAAACGTTATACGATTTACATGTAATTCTGGCGATATATTTAGTGTTATATTTACCTCCCTGTACTTTTCACTCTCTGATCTTTGTAGTTTCTTTCAGTCCATGCTGCACCGTGTGTGTCCGGTCTGCCCTCATTTTCTCCAAATCATGTGGCCTTTCATTTGTTTGGATTAACTCGGAAAGCCACTTGTTTGACCACAGGAGCAGTCTGTTAAGGTCTCCAGAAATTTGTCATTGTTCTCCTCTGTTCGTATTCTTATTAGTTTTACATCGTCAACAAACTCAAGGTAATCTTCAAAAAGAGGGTGTGATAAGTTCAGATTAGTTCCTGATCAGCCGGGCTGTTGTGTATGTTAGGCTACGTACTGCTGGTATCAACAGCTTGGTCTGGGACCCCGAAATCAACTCCAGATAGTTGTTAGTCTCACTATTATTGTAAGTAATATAGTCACCAGCTGTTGATTAACTGATTAATACAAATGTGACATCATTAATGATCATAATTACAAGGGAGACGCTATAATTAATTGCCTTCCAGGTGATTGATTGATTGTGATTAGGATACTAGATTACGTTAGGATTTATAGTAATCATAGTCCTGCCGAATGTGGGATTACCTGGTTACCTGGAGGTTACCTGGAGGTTATTCGAACGATTTGTAATTAGGGATAAAGGTATCCTGATCACTTGTAAAAATAAATACAAGCCTTCAGCACATTTGAGGATTGTAGTTGAAATGCGAGTTAATAACGTCCATAAGACACTAATATAAAGTGAATTATTAATCAGCACAAGTTGTTATAGTTAGCACATAATTAAATGTGTCAGCTGTCTGTCCGTCATACTGTACAATATTTGATGATCAAACATCTGCCGCCTTAGTTGTGTATTGATCACTCACCATGACACTCCAATAATTAATAAACATTAAGATAAGTTGTCTGCAATACTTCATGTCATTTCATCTGTATGTTACTGCCCAGAGCAGTGAGTTACCGTATTGCCTTAATAACTATATTAATAATGCATGAATTAAGAGAGACGTCTTAACTGTCACTGGGAATCATGATTTACTACGTCCCCCACCTTCCTCCCTATGATATTCAGGGGATTAAAAAACTAAAAAACTATTTTATATTGTGTGTCGTGCCGAATATGTAAAACTTGCGATTTTCACTTAAATAGCAACACACTTCTTGCCGAATAAGGTAAGCTAAAATTTGTGTATGCAGTAATTTCGCGTAAATCATTCTGAACCTAACCAAAAAAAAAATAGTTTATTACTAAATTATTGTAAACTTGTCTAAAATATATTTAGTTGGATTAGGCTAAATTAAATTGCGCTTGTTATAATAAGGTTAGGTAAGATCTCTGAGGTTTTTGGGTACAAAATTATTAATTTTAACATTAACATAAATGAAAAAAATACGTCTTTAAACGTAGAGAAAATTTTAGAGAGGACTTCATTTAAATGAGTTCTTGCTAATTGACCAGTTTTACCCATTCGGCACGACATTGTGTGTGGTGTGTGTATATATATATATATATATATATATATATTTATATATATATATATATATATATATATATATATATATATATATATATATATATATATATATATATATTAATTATAATTGAAAAATGACGAACAAGCGATACAAGATGCAAAACAACCTCTGGGGGACTTGAATGATAGCTCTAGGCCTTTCGTGTTGCAATCAACACATCAGGAGCTTGAATGTTGCAGAAAGAGGTGCAAGCAAATAAGTTCAGAGGAAACTTACACAGCGTATTTGCTTGGACCTCTTTTTGCAACACTGCAAGCTCCTGATGTGTTGCAACAAGATGCAAAACACCCCGTGATTGTTTTGCATCTTGTATCGTTGTTCGCGATTTGTGCATAATATATGTCGTGCCGAATAGGTAAAACTAGTCAATTAGTAAACTCACTTAAAATCGGCTTTTCTAAAATTTTCTCTTGTACGTTTAAAGATATATTTTTTTCATTTGTTAATGTAAAAAATTAGTTTTGTACCAAAAGAACTTTGGAAAGCTTATCTAATCTTATTATAAGCGCAATATAATCTATCCTAATTCAACTAAATATATTTTAGACGAGTTCACAATAATTTAATAATACACAAACACAATGAAATATTTTTTTTCGTTAGGTTCAGAATGATTTTTGCCAACTTATTGCATACACAAATTTTCGCTTGACTTATTCGGCAAGAAGTGCGTTGCTATTTAAGCCAAAATCGTAAATGTTGCCTATTACACACACACACACACACACACACACACACACACACACACACACACACACACACACACACACACACACACACTCACACTCAGCGAAGAGGCGGGGCCAGGAGCTGTGACTCGACCCATGCAACCACAAATAGGTGAGTACACACACTCACACACTTTCTCTTCTCTCTTCTCTCTCTCTCTTTCTCTCTTTTCTCCTCTTCTCTCTCTCTCTCTCTCTCTCTCTTTCTCTTCTCTCTCTTTCTCTTTCTCTCTCTTCTCTCTCTTTCTCTCCTCTTTCTCTCTCTCTCTCTCTCTCTCTCTCTCTCTCTCTCTCTCTCTCTCTCTCTCTCTCTCTCTCTCTCTCTCTCTCTCTCTCTCTCTCTCTCTCTCTCTCTTTTTTTTTCTTTTTCTCTTTCTCTTTCTCTCTCTTTCTCTCTCTTACTCTTTCTCTCTCTCTTATTCCAAACCAGGCATCAGATTACGCAGTATTTTACCACACAGCCAGACTCCCGCTTCGACTCCTACCCGATGTTAGGCACACATTTTTCGGGAATCTGGCTGTGTGGTAAAGTACTGCTTTACTTCTAGGTTCGAATCATGCTGTGGACTGAGAGATAGTGTGTGTATTATATAAAGCTTTGGTTCATTAGGGCGGGAAAACTTGTGGGTTGGGGAACTATTTTAGGGCCAAGGATGGGGAAACTATTTTGGGGCTGAAGAAGAAACCCGTGTAGGTCATGGCCACTTGGTGTAGGGGGTTGTGTGGGCAGGGAGGGAGGGATGATCCCTAGGATGCCTGGTATCTGCAGACATGTCAGCGTGTTTGCTGACTAGGAAAGGTCATTATTGCAGAAACACTCACAATAATGTAAATATGTTTGCAAAATAATATACTTAGATTTGTCGTTTATCCATAATAACTAGTTTTATGCGTAAATTACATTCGTCTCATCCATGATTACTTTTGAGCGACATGCAATGATGTTGACGTGGAAACGGATATACCTCGGAATTTTTAAGAGCGGTTACTGGGTATTCGTTACCGAGTGTTTGTTGTTGTATGTCATGGCCTGAACTAGTGCACCGGATGGGGTGTGGGAAAGAGAATAATAGCGAGGGAGGAGGCACTGATGATGGTAGTGGGGGGGAAGGGTAGACGGGGGATTTAATGACGCTCATTGCTAGCATCCGCCCTCTTTTCCTCTTAACCTTCTTCTCCCTTCGTAATATAATATTGGATCAATAACAGTAATGAAACATGGTAATGTTAAACAAGTATGACTGCCAGATGTACTTGTGCCTAGGAGCTACGAAGGTGGTACTGTTATGTAGAGTATGAGTGGGGACCGCCAGGTTGGAACTTTTTTTACATAGTTCAGTTTACAGGCAGAACTGTTATTCTTCTGCTCATTTCAAAGCCCAGCCCACAACAGTGAACCAACACCCTGGTGTAACCCGGGTAACCAGGGGCATTGGATATAAGGAGACTTGTCTGGGAATCGAACCCGCGTGCCTCCAATTGTCAGCATAAATCTGAACCATTGAGCTATAGATTTGAAGTATATGTGACTGGGTTGTCGTCCATCTTAGTCACTGCAGTAGTTAGCCTGTGGGCTTTTTTATTATCCTCACCTTGACGCCTTCCTCTGCACGTTCCCACGCCGCCGAGGGCTGGTGGAAAAGGAAGGTTGCCCGAGGTGTAGGGAAGGAGTGAATGGCCCTCACACCACACTAGACTCACCGGTATGACATTAAATGGCTCGTATTCCAACATGTGGGTTGAGTTGTGCTGCAACCCCTCCTCAAATTACAACGTTCGTATTTTTTAATCATTAAAGTGCGTTAATTTATAAAAGCTGTAAGACACAGTAAGTAAATATTAGTTTTGTTGGTTAGGTCGATTTTAAATTACCCTATATTTACGTACAAGTAATCGTCCATAAACAAATTACCTCAACAGGGGATTTCTTTAACAAAACTGGATACACTTAACAGCAGTGTGCTGCTGCTTCAGTCTATATGATAGTTACATAGTGGGAACAAAAGCTGTTTCCCTATCATATTCCATTACGCTGGAAGGAGTTCATAATGTTGAAATCATTTGGGCTGAGCTGGGAGACTTTAGTAGAGCAAAGATGTCAAAAATTCCAATAAGGTTCAGCAGCTACGAGAGTTTCAAAGGTTTCTTT